CCGGGCGGGGCTCGACCCCCGCATTTATCAAATTTATAACGATTTACGTAATATCCAAACTATCATTTCTCATGAAATGTTCTTTTTTTATGGAGCCATTAGGAAAATTGCACGATATTTTCGAAGTAATACACAGTAACTGGCTAACTAGCTTCGTCGGCGCAAAATGAAATAAAAAAAAATCCATAATGTTCATACCATACCATACATATCTTCCTGTCAAGTTCCCGTTATAATCGATACAGCCGTTCCGGATATTACTCGGAACTAATGCTTTCCGGACATACAGAACGCAAGACAGACAGACAGACAAAAATATTAAAAATTGGTATTTCGTTATTAGCAACGCAAATACTTCATGTCTACGAATTTTTATATTACATACAGTTTTATTCCATGTACATGTTCCATGTACTAATTATAGCTAAGACTCCGTTGGCGCGGAATTAAAAAAAAAACAATAATTGAGATAAAAACAACCCTATATCAAAAATTGGACTTAATCACAGATGCTTACAAAATGTAATAATTGTTTCAGTAGTTTCGGAGTTTAACGCGAACATACATTGTGACAAGATTTTCTTATTATATACTAGCGGAGCCGACAGACGTTGTCCTGTCTACACGTCACACACACACACATGATACACAAAATTGTGAATCTAAACCATTCCCAGATCCCCTTGAACACACACGAAAAATTTCATCAAAATCGGTCCAGTCGTTTGAGAGAAGTTCAGTGACATACACACTCGCAGAAGAATTGTATATATAAAGATATATAAGATATAAATTTTATAGTATATATGTTAGTGCATACGTTCAGTTTCACATTTAAACATAGCTGTATACGGCCACAACCTCAATAGCTTGCTGATTTCTTCGCCTTTTGCGGCAACTTGTCTGTACACCCTGTAACACAAGCTTACATATTAAAACAACAACCTGTATACAACTCTAACATCTACACGTTAGTTATAATGACGATTTTTGCTTGTAGCAATTTTCTTTTTATTTGTAAATTTCAGGATTGTTGACAATTGTATTTTTTATCCTTTCGCTTAAGACCTTTTCGTTTTGGTTAATTTTTTAATAAGATTCTTAACTGTTGTATGATAATTTGACAGTTGTTTGTTAATTTTGGTTTCTTAATTTAAAAGGAATTTTTTAATTAATATAATAACTATTTTATTATATTTGGTATTAATTTTTGTAAATAATATCTTGTTATTTCGTTATCCATGAATAAAGTTAATCAGAAAACAGCTATTTATAGCAGTTTATAATAATTTTCTAAAGCAAACATTTAAAATTTAAGATTAAAAAATTGGTATACGGAATTGTTGGCTCTACGTGCAACGCTACCTTTGCCTGGCTATTGTATGTAGATATTCCAAAAATGGCGGCAACGGGAGTCGAGTTTTTGCCGGCATTACAATTATGTATTACGAAATAACATCGCAGCACTATAAAGTAATCGAAAACATTACTCACAAGTTAAGTAACGCATGATGGCAGATTTAATTCTTAAATTGCTTTTCATTTGGGCACTGTTAGAAATAATTGTCAAAATTACGACGTGTAGTTGTTTTTTTTTTCTATATTTTTAAATAAGTTTTTCACATATGTTGCATTTTTTATTAAATTAAATCTTCTAAGTGATAATCCATAAATGCAATATTTTTAATTTTTGAAAAAGCTGGATCATTAAATCATTGTTTTAAGTCTAATAAAATTTTATTTTATCTGTGGGAGTTAGATTTACAAGATACGTGGTCATCATAAGATGTACGATGTTCCTAATTAACATATCTCCTTTTAAGAGACTTGGACTAATCCATTTTTAGAATGGAAAACAAAAAAAAACAACACTTTTTGATAAATTTAAAACTCTTTAAGCCTGATTTGTTCTAAATATTAGTTATTTTTAAAGAAAATAAACTACGAATAAACTCATTTACGAGTTTAAAGCATAAAATGTAGAGTTTGTCTATGGTGAAAATACTTTTGGATTGAAATAAAATACCGAAGTTTTATCGGCATATAACGATATACATCAATTTTTCCTCTTAAGTATGTTTGTTGTAATTTTTATTGTTAAACGCGTATTTCCATTAGCAACAAATATAAATAACTTTATCGTATATGACCTGCAGCTGTACTTGGAATACTCGGAATAACAAATTCTTGTAACATCTTATTCATAAATAAACGCAAATGTTGCCCTACGTAATAATTTAAACATATAAAAGGGGAGTTTGAACAACAATTTCAATAAACATTACGTACATACAACTGTTTAGTTTATTAAAAAAAACATATTTTTTCTACTAAATTTAATTTTGTTTAACGGTTTATGCACTTATTTGTGAAATTGCGAATTAAAATTTAAGTTAATGCAGTAATATTTTTAATTACCCATTAGTGGTCGTCATTTGTCGGCTATTTTAACTTCTTTATCGGGCAACACTGGATCAGATGATGAGTACATTACCATAATAGGTTAGTCTTCAAACTATATATTAATATCGACTTTAATACATTATAATAAAGTTGTAATTTATTTGTAGATGTTATAAGAATTGAGTCATTTTAATTTTGAAGTTGTTTACATGTCGCTTCGCGGTTCGCGGTTCAACGCTGACTCATATACGATCAATATTTACGAACTGAAAGCTTTTGTTTCCAACAACATATATTCTAGTTATAATTAAAATAGCTAATAACACTTGTGTAAATAAAATTTTGTAGGACATACACTAAATATAAAATCCTGGCATAGTTCAGCCGCCATTTGCAAAATTCAAACACGTAAATATTGTTGTTATTTATGGCACGAATTTTTTTATAATCTTATCTAAAAATACGAATAATAAGAAACGGAATATCTCGTACTATGACGTTTTCTGACAAATCGACACGTCCTATGTTTACTAGATGTAATTTATTGCTAAACAGTAATCGTATTTTTTGTTATATGTATTGAAAAATATTTAACAATTACGACAATAAGATAATAATAATAGTTACGAGATATCGATGAATGCATTTGTTAACAAAAGAAGTTAAGGTATTAATAAGGTATGTTTTTGACAAAAAATACAGAAAAAAAATTAACGCAACAGCTTTTATAAAAAACAAAAAGTAATTCCTTCTGTTCTGCAACATTTTGATAGTAATGTCTTTATAGGTTAAGTAAATTCAGGCGTTTTATTAGTTATTTGGTGACCTTTTACATATGTTGCTAAAACAAATTTGTTTACGTCATATGTCTAATGAGTCTGTAAGTCTTTAAACTTGTAGTAATTATTCATTTAAGAGGAAAAGCGACATTATGTCAAGGCCTAGTTGTTCGTACAACACATTCTTAGAAACATTTATTATGGTATTCGAATTAAAGTAAGTTTTGTATAAATAGATTATGTTTTATTTTCCTTTAACTGTATAGAAATAATTCTTTCTTAATTCTCTTATTAACTTGAGTTTAAAATAAATAAATAAAAAAAAAATAACAATACATTTTTTGTACAAGTTTTTGGCTATGGAAACAGGAGATTTGGCGCAAAAAAACGTCTGCGGTAAAAGGCTCAATATCCAATTGTAATAAATTTTATTTTAAAAATTTCTCTTTACGTCTACTTCTATGTTTTTATTTTCTTTTGACATTAAATCCTTTTAGCAAGAATTTATAAAAACCAAATTTAAAAACTTTTAGTGTGATTAGTAAAAGAAATAGGGCCACTCCTCGAAATAGGGACGCGCAACGTCGATGTTGCCAGCAGCAAATTGAAAATGTATTAAATTCAGGAACATTCCTGCTGCAGAAATACTGCAATGCGGTGCACTGCAGCAAGCAGCCTGTATTATTATAAATTGCTGGAAAATTGAAACTCTCTTTTTAATGTAGATATTAATCCAAATATGAAATAATAACATACTTTGATATGTATATTTATCATATCATATTTATACATGAATATTTACTTTTTTTTAACTAAAACTAGCTGACTTACCCCACTCCATCCGCGCTGAAATAAAAAAAAAATAAGTAGTCTATGCATTCTTCCAGGCTATGTTCTACATCTGTGCCAAATTTCCTCAAAACATCCATTTATAATATTAGTAAGATGAAAATAATATTTTTGTATTTAGAAATATCGATTATATACGAGTGTAGTCTGTAAATATTTTAAATTGTATTCAATGACCGTGACCTTAATAATGTTGACAATTGATGCATTGGCAGAACGCACCGAGACATTTGCCTTGTGAACGGTAAAATAATGATTTGTTTTTAAATATGTTATACTATAGTAAGAATATAACCAGCCAGTTCCCAGGATATAATCACTATTTTATTCTGATAAAATAGTGTGCTAAAATGGAATCGGAATTAATTACCATTGCAGTCGCTATCTAAATCATTTGATGTATAAAAAAACGTGTCTGTCAAAAGAAAGCAGTCAATTTCAAAAAGCAGCATTGAAAAATACTGGCTGGTCGTGTCCATTTAAAAAGATGAATAATAAATAGCTTGTATAGTGGCAGGTAATAAAACATATTCTTATAATTTAACACATGAGTAGTTTTTGTTGTGTGAAAACACCTTTTATTATATAAAACTAAATAGTATAAACAGTCACGCAAACTGTAGAGCAAAGGGTGTGAGCACTCAGCATAATGAAATAAACCGTTTGTTAAACTTCTATAAATATTAGCATGAACGCACACTGGACGATACATGCAGAAAGGAGCCAAATAAAAATACAAAACAAAAAAGGCTAATTGAATGCAACCCTCAGTAGCAAGCCGCATTAAAGGGAGATAAAAATAATGCAGTAGTAACACATATCCATATATAGAGGAGCAGAAATCTCTCCTTTTCGATGTGATAAGGTATACGTAATGGCGTGAAGTTGGCCGCAATCGCGTCGACCAATCAGGAGGCGAGTTGCAGGCGCTGAGCGGAGGCGCGCGCGGCCTCAAAATACCCCACCGAGCTCCAGCACCGATCAAATCTGCGAGCAGTGCCGCGAGAGACGCGTGTCTAGTGTTTAAGTAAAGTAATTTATTTCAAAGTTTTAATACAAATATGAGGGAAATCGTGCACATCCAGGCCGGCCAATGCGGCAACCAGATCGGAGCTAAAGTGAGTATCGAATGCATGTTATTTTGTTTTCTAACATAATAACAACATAACTCGCCGGTTGTACAAAGTATGTTCCCATGTACGACGTGTAACGGTTTGTATCTATCATGTCATGGAATTCACCAGAAATTCTATTTCGCATTCATACACTAAAAACAATAACACAAACATCGATGAAAGTTAAAATTATTATATTTTTGAACCAAACTAAAACCACTACTTCTTTATTGCATAGACTCGTTCATTGTCAAAAAATAGAATTCCAAATTCAAATTTTTCTCTCGCGCGCTGTCAAGTCACCAACCAACCCCTCGTTTCCGCGCATGCTCAGTCGGCCAATAAAAAAAAACAATTAGTCATATCCCTACAAAGAATGACATCATATGTAATTATAGAAAAATGATTAAGCAAAGTTGTTTATTAAATTAAATACCTAATCTAACAGACTTGTTTTCCTTGTAAGCATTTATTAGGTATTAATAATAGTGGTTTTATAAAAACATACTACAACAGACATGTTATCCAAACGTTTGCCTTACGTTATTTTGGCTAATTAAAAAAATGATTATGTCTATGGATCGTTGATTTCATACGAGTTAAATATCGATACAGTACCGACCTAGTTGTCTTAGAAACTGAATAATTATCGACTTTCCTATCGAACCTGGCGGTGAAATTGTCTAGAATTAATTACCGACAATTTTCTTGCATCCGCTCAATTGGATGTTAAGATACAAATCTGCGGACAACATAATTGTGTTACTTTTCCTATTATCTTTTTATGGCATCTTGACAGGACTTCGTAGACATTACAAAACAAATTAAATTATGTATTTTTTATGTTCTAAAGTTCTTTAGTTCGTTTTTTTGTTACGTCTATCTATCTAGCATTATTATTTGGGCTTATGACTTAAATGAGACTCGTAAAAATGCATTCTGTGATATGAAATGTCCTAACATCGTGACTCACATATAAATCGACGTTGGAATGTCAGTGTGTGAAAGAGATACAGCATTTAACACTCCGCCCGTGTCTGTACAATATTCGTACGGCCATTATGTTTTGAGCAATAAAATTATATATGGCGTTTTCTATTGAATTAAATTTCGAGAACAGAGCAATGTAAAATAGAGGGCACGCCTGCACGGCTAATTTCACTGTATGATTGTACCTCGCGAACGAAACAATAGAGTAAAAACCGGCGATGACCTCAACTTTTTCTACTCTGTTGATTTTACGCGCGGATTTAATAGGTGAATTGATTTGACGTTTATATTTTTTTTCACATTCTGTGAAAGGTAAATGCTATTATGCCAGATCGATAATTGAATAAGAAAATAAAAAGCAATTCGAAATTTTAATTTTATTAATGTTTGACTGATGATTTTAATGTTAAATCTTTTAAGCCTATTGAGGAAGCGTGTTATATTAAAAAGATTATAGAGCAAAGCAAGTTTTTGTACATTTGCTGAATTCATAGATACCTTATCATGTTTTTACGATTGGCCTTAGAAACTAAGTTACAGGATAGATTAGAGGGGCCGTTGAACTGACGGTCGTCGACCGAGACTTATAAATAGCCACCATTGGTCCGCCATAGCGCAAAGTGGCACTCTCCAGAGATATTCTAATTTAGAGAACTCTTAAGAAATCCGTCTGAGAGGTTGCAAGCTATATTCGTACAACTGCAGATACTAAAGTTACATTATTTCTAACCAGCGATTGACCAACTTTATGAATATACGCACTACCCAGAGAACCGCCTTGTAAGAGCTTGAATTTTTACTTTTCAGTCACTTGTACCACATCCCTATTTTAATTAACTATAGGTACTAGGCCAAAGTACTTCACTAAATATTGGTGTAACTTTGGCAAACCTTACTAAAGCCAATACACACCAAAAGAAATCCTTAGTCTAAGTTTTTTTTAACGTCATGAACGTAGATGTATTATAATCCAAAAAGTATTTAGTGTCATCCGCTGATGCGGGTCGTCTTAAGCCATCCATCGTTTCACTCTGTCCATTGTAACTGATATTTCACACGCAACTTTCATGTCTGCGTTTCATCTAGTTACAAGGAAAGTCACCTTTCCCTCCACCATTACACCAATCGCCTTTCACTTTTTGTTATTATTTAAAAACTCATTTCGCTGTCAAGTTTTTTGTACCGTTTTTGACATTAGCAATTTAATCTTCTATAGATAATAAATAATATTAAAACGTCAAATTGCTGTCAATTCTAAAAGATCAATGAATAGACATAAAATCAGATATGCCAAAATACAAAATGTAGATACTTTTTATGAAAAACAATCTTGTCAAGTGATCGTTTAAATATTTATTTATCGAAACCCTGAACTAAAAGCCGATGTCCATGTTAGTCATTTAGTCGTATAAGGCGATGTCGCGACGCCGTACCCACACAGCTCGCCTACAGACAGATGACATCATACCTTTGCCTCTCAAGTACATGTAGAATGAATTTTAATGCTCAGCAATCAGTCGCTAAGCGATCGCTTACTTCTTTTGACTATTTGTTTTCACGATTACGCAAACCGCAATAAACCAATCCATGTGTCATATTTAAACTGTTTTCGACTATTGTAATAAATGAACAACATTTTGGTTATGTAAATCGATTCGTCATTCGTTACTTGCCATATGGTTGCTTCAAAGAAACTTGTAGAATATATGCTAATGAGCTGGTTGTTACACAACACAATGTACTTGAAGAGATAAGTCTGAGACATACGTGGGCGTTACCGTCGTCAAGGCAACTGGAGTTTAAGCTTTAGTTGGAGATACTCTGCACATCCTGTTGCCTCTTTGCGTTACGGTTCATTGCGCTTTGTCGACGAGTCTCCATTTAACAAGACCTATTTTGTTAACACAAATATGAATAGGTTATAGACGGGTCTACGATAGCTTTGTATCGAAATGACTCCCTGAGCCGTTACTACTCTAAAACTGGTTTGAAAGCACTGCACTCGACCGTTGTACCGTTCGAGAAAGCGATGCGCTTTCGTGCAGTAATTTTAATAAGTTGAGCTATCGATTTCAAAATAATACAAGCACTTACTGCTCACATACAAATGTAGCTAAAGTTTACTGATTTTTGGCGATTCTAGTTTTCACTAGGTCTTAACACGAGCCTTTTATATTTCTTCTTTCATTCTCAAATATTTTTGCTAACAATTCAGTCTAAGGTTAAGCTTTTGAAAGATTTAATAGTGTACATTTTGATTCTCTGTTGTAACCATACATGTCTTTTACAGTTCTGGGAGATCATCTCTGACGAGCATGGCATTGACCCTACCGGCGCGTACCATGGCGACTCAGACCTGCAGCTGGAGCGCATCAACGTTTATTACAATGAGGCCTCCGGTGGCAAGTACGTGCCCCGCGCCATCCTTGTCGACCTCGAGCCCGGCACCATGGACTCGGTGCGCTCTGGACCCTTCGGACAAATCTTCCGACCTGATAACTTCGTCTTTGGTCAGTCCGGCGCCGGTAACAACTGGGCTAAGGGCCACTACACAGAGGGCGCAGAGCTCGTCGACTCAGTTCTTGACGTAGTACGCAAAGAATCAGAATCATGCGATTGTTTACAAGGATTCCAGCTCACACACTCCCTTGGTGGCGGTACCGGCTCCGGTATGGGAACACTCCTTATCTCCAAAATCAGAGAAGAGTACCCCGACAGGATCATGAACACATACTCAGTCGTCCCCTCGCCCAAAGTATCAGACACCGTAGTAGAACCTTACAACGCCACACTCTCGGTCCACCAGCTCGTAGAAAACACAGACGAAACATATTGTATCGACAATGAAGCCCTATACGACATCTGTTTCCGCACGCTCAAGCTGTCTACACCCACCTACGGTGACTTAAATCACTTAGTATCCCTCACAATGTCCGGTGTCACGACTTGCCTCAGGTTCCCTGGTCAACTGAACGCCGATCTTCGTAAGCTAGCTGTAAACATGGTTCCTTTCCCTCGTCTCCACTTCTTCATGCCCGGATTCGCTCCTCTCACATCCCGTGGAAGCAGACAATACCGTGCCCTCACCGTGCCTGAACTCACCCAGCAGATGTTCGACGCCAAGAACATGATGGCGGCTTGCGATCCGCGCCATGGCCGTTACCTCACCGTCGCCGCCATCTTCCGCGGTCGCATGTCCATGAAGGAGGTCGACGAGCAGATGCTCAACATCCAGAACAAGAACTCGTCCTACTTCGTCGAATGGATCCCCAACAACGTGAAGACCGCCGTGTGCGACATCCCGCCACGTGGTCTCAAGATGGCTGCCACCTTTATCGGCAACTCGACCGCCATCCAGGAGCTGTTCAAGCGCATCTCGGAACAGTTCACCGCTATGTTCAGGCGCAAGGCTTTCTTGCATTGGTACACTGGCGAGGGCATGGATGAGATGGAGTTCACCGAGGCGGAGAGCAACATGAACGATCTCGTCTCCGAGTACCAGCAGTACCAGGAGGCCACCGCCGACGAGGACGCCGAGTTCGACGAGGAGCAGGAGCAGGAAGTCGACGAGCACTAAACACTGAAACGTAGAAACTTTTATCAATTTAAACGCGTTACGCCAAATGAGTAACAAATTGATTCCTACGTTAAATTCAGAACCTGCTTTCTAACTTTTAACAGATGCACAATTTAACTAATTATCAGAATTATTATGATATATAAAACCAAAATATAAATTGACGGCATTTGTATTCCATCAATACATTCCTCGTGATTCCAGCAAGACTCATTGAGAGCTAGATCTGAATTTTATAAAGGCTGATCTAAAGTAGACATTGCGTATTTATAATGTTTGGAAACAATTTGCCAAACGTAAAAAATGTCCGCTTCAATAACAGAAGTTATTACAATTGTTTTGAACAAATAATTTAATGTATACAATGTGCCGGACGAGTATGCAACCGGCATTCTTAGTTATTGGTCATTGCGAGAAACAAGACATCAGTTTACAATGAATTCACGCAATGCCAGCCAGCGGTATTCTCTTTCTGCAGCCAAATACTCAGAAAAGGAACATCAGACTTACAAATGCAAATTAAAATTAAAATGTCGGTTACAAACTTACCCTGTATGCTGTAATAAAGATGTTTATTTATTAAAAACAAACTGGTCTTTACTTCTATCCCAAATCTTAAAACCTACCTAACGTTAAATACTGTTATTCTCTTAACAATTTTTTTGACAAAGCCTTGTTTTGGGAAGCACAAAATAGGTTTTCTGCTTTATGTTGAATCTGTGATCTAATTACATATTATTATAATGAAATATTTTGATATACAGAACTGTACTTTAACTTATTGATTTAGCACATTAAAATTATCTATTAGTCTTTAAAATCAAAATAGGAAATAGTAATTTAAGGAAATAGGTAACAATTTTATTAAAATAACCTTGAACAGTTACAAAACAAAATGTTAAACAATTCTTATGAGATAAGATAAACTCAGGTATATTTTATACGTTTGAAAAACATTGTTTAAATTTTGTCACGAAACAACAAAAAATTCTGACAGAAAAAAATTAATACGAATATTCATGTTTATAAATTTATAACTGCAAATGTATGTTATCCATCATTTAATTACATATATTATCTGTGTTACGACCATATGCTGACCGTAGGCTTATCTACCTTGGTTCTATATTTAGAAATGCACTTACTAACGACCGGTCATCAATGGCCTCCGTCCACGCACAATAAATCCTTTGTGAGTAGTAAATTACCAATGGAAAAGAGGCCGGCAAGGTTCACCACAAATTGGTTTTTAGATAACGGAGTGATGTCAGGTCTTAAATTCTCGTAAACAAACGCTTATGTCATTCGGATGGCGCGAGTTTCAAGTATTTAGATCACGTGAAACGTCATTAGCTTGCAATGACAAAATGGCGGACGTTTTGTCCCACATATGGAAGAATTTATACCAATTTAACAAATTAATATAAATCTTATGATATTAACAATATTATTCATGATTGTATTATTAAAGAACACATTTGGCATTGAATAGAACACTTTTAGCATTAGAATAGTTTTTTTTAATACGAAAAATAACTAAAAGAAAGCTAATGTTTGTCGATTATAATATGGGTCAGATTCTATTTGGCTTAGATAGAAATGATTCTCCTGTTCCATCGTGTGGCTACACGCCTATTGCGGTGCTAATATAATATCTAATTATATTTAATATAAAAACTAACTATATCTTGTGAACTTAGTAACACGACTAAAAGTCCTAGGAAGGAGACTAAATGACACGATTCCTCAAGACTACGTCAATCTTAATAAAAGCTCCGTATGGAGTTTAGATTGCAAACAATGATTTCTTATCCACGTCAGCAAGGAAGAACCTTCGATAAATTGAGTACGACACTTTTCTACGACCTCTCCGCCCACTATCTACTCTGTGGTAATGTTTACCCACGCTTGATTATAATCTGTAATCATTATCTGTCATTTAAATCAAATGGTTTCTTTGAAATTGACTCGAAAGATATCTTACTAATATTATAAATGCGAATATTTAAATGGATGGATTATTGTTTGAAGGTATCTTCTGAACGACTGATCGGATCTCGATGAAATTTGGCATATAGAACATAGTCTGGTAGAAAACATAGACTACTAATTATTATTGTTTTTAATTTCACGCGCACGGATATGCGGGCGACAGCTATTTAATATAAAATTACCAATTATTTTCGAAGTGACATGCAACAGTTGCTAAAAGTTATAGTGACATTCGTCTTAAGATTTATTGAATACATTTAAAAGGGATTTTGGTATCCGTAGAAAGTGGACCACACTGAACCGAGTTTAACAAACATTTTTAGTGTGGGCGCGACGCCATATTGAAATGAAAGTAATTTCAATTCGCTTATTATAAACTTTGTACAGTCATCCGGACAATGAACATATGGTTACGATACAGATATATGCAAATTAAGACAGGCCAACCAAAAATAAACTTTTTAAGTTTATGATTAAAGTATAAGGACTGAAGTTTAAGTGCTGTTGCTGTAAATGTTTGGGGAGTAGGTATAAATCTAGTTTCATAAGTATTAACGGAAAACTGGTAAGTACATATATGTTACCCATGAAACATTAAAAGCTATAGACCAGATAGACCAATTCCTTAGCTGTGTATAAAGGAAGGTATGGAAGAATTGGATGAGATAAAAAAAAATATTTATTATAGTAGGGACTGCCTATTGGTCGAAAATCGATAATAATTTATAACCAAAGATTTCATTATATTCTAAAAAAAAACCAGCTTTCTGTACTTCATTATCTACAATAATTTTAACTGTGTTAAAAGTACATATTTCTCCGTCACAATTATCTTAAAGAGGTACAAAGTTATCACTTCGAGTATTAATATGTTGATGGCCGTGTCTAAAATGTTCGAATGTCTTCAATGTAATCGCGTCGCGTTGCGAATTTCGCGCAGCTTTGGCGCCATCTTGTCGTCGTCTGATGAGATCTGTGTCGTTGCAACTTTGTACTCATACTTAATTTACTTTCTTTACACATGCTAGCATTTAAATTAATAAAAATAAAATACGTACTTTAAAATGATGATGGTAATTATTTTTCTGAAAATCGACACCAGAATTTACTAATTACGAAAGAAAAATTATATTTTTATATAATTAAATTGACCGTAAAAGAAACGAGACAGAATTTTTAAATAGTAATATTTGCCAAGATCTATAACATATGAGCCTATTTTTCTTTTTATAATATCACGAAGTCGCAAGCTACAGTTAATCTAGTATTAAAATAATTATTTTCGTTGTCTAAAAAGGTGGGATTAAAACCTTCTAATGTCAAACATGGTTGACGTCAATGGCACAATTGTTTAACGACTTAATCACAGACGAAGTCGGGTAACGACCGCTAAAACTAACTAACCTATTTACACTGTTATAGGGTGAATGAAACTCAAAGCTATTTACTAGTAATTACTAAAATTCCAAACCATTTTAAGCATTTTAGGTTAGTTTACTTATACAATATAGTATTTCTGATGCGAATTCTTTCTAAAAATTGTAATATCCATTTGTGAGTTCGTGTTTTAGTTCATTCAATATTCTTTAGCATTCTTAGTCTTCTAATATTGACCACTAAATGTAGATTTAACATGAGAAATCTACTCTAAGTGACTGTTAAAGTAACACAGATAATATTTATCTTTTTCTTTTAAATTTATGAGAGTGAAATCAGAGAAACATGTCAGGCACTTTCCGGACCTATTTTTTCGCCCATAAGGGCATGAATTTATGCTGAAGTCATAAACTAAGTATTACTAAAACTATTACCCATGCATCTTCCAACAAAATGACCTCGTTTCTTTCTTGTTTTCGGAAATTTCGATGCAAATGTTTAAACCATTACAGTGAATCCACTTTCGATTTTAACATGCACTCGTTTTGTTGCAAAAAAAAGGCATCATGTTTGACTTTTATGTATGTATATATTGAATGTTCGCAGAGAATTTTGCAGCAGCCTGGCGCTTGGTAACGAGACACGCCCGTGATAATGCGGACTTTTGGACCGCAAAGGCGTAGCTACGTTAATATGGAGATGGACTTTTGATTTCTTAAATTGAAATTCAGAAAAAACAAGACGGTGATGCGTTTGGCTTGTATATATGTATGACTGAATTACTAATAACCTTATTTGGACCAATAAGGTGTTATACGAACCGTATTTTTCGTCGGAGTGTATTTGTGTTAAAGTTAGTCAGGATTATTGTTTTTTTTTTCAACAACTGCTTGTATATTGTGACTGTGGTTGCATTTTATCAACCGGTTTATGATTGCACTTTATCAAGAGATGGATAACTTCCGCGATTACACTATCAGAAATGTTAGATAAGATTTTTCGTAGAAATGCATTCAATATTTATGTTTTATAAAATCATAAACTTCTAATTCCTACATACATGTAGAAAATATGATGTAAGATGTTTTACACGTGTATTTCTGCTGATTTAAGATTGAAAATTATATAAATATTTGGGTAATAACAAAATGAATGAATCATCATCATCATCAGCCTTTATTAATCCACTGCTGGACATAGGCCTCTCCCATGGCACGCCATTGAGCACGATCCTCGGCCACTTTCATCCAGCTCTTGCCAAAAAATTGGGATGGATCAATGATGTAAGCGTTATATTTAAATACAATAGTTATTTTTTATAACATTCTTCGTCATATTAAGTGCATCATCTTTTAATTTGTTACCGTGTCTTGTAAAAAATGTAACCCAGACTTCAAGCAGTTTATCTACAATCTTTTAAGTTAATCTTCTCACGAATTATTATCGGATGTAACTGTTTTTAATGAAAAACGACCTTGATAATTAATATGCAGGTCAAGAATAATAATTAGAATGACGTAATTGCCAATTCTTGCTTATATATGACAGTATACAAAATAAAAAAAATACGGTTTATTAAAATCTTAAAGAAAATTAAGATTTTTATTAAAAAAAGATATGCAAAGTTGGCACTATCTTTAAGCCAAGAGCACCGAAATTTTAATTACTAAACACATTATATAACAAATATCGACAAAATTAAAAGAAGTTTTTGATTCACACCGACTTAAATGCACCTATTGATGTTATGTGACAGTTAATTTTATCTACTTTTTGGTTCGAATCCATACCACCGCTACAAACCGCTACCAAAAGCGCCAAAATGTCGAAAATCAAATAGGCACAAATACTTCTTCTTATAGCCAGTCCATTTATAGAGGTTATTTCATTTAAGTAATCAAGTCTCTATCCATACTTACCGAGCCGCCTTTATTCAGTATTGATCCCGAAGCCCGTCGAAAATACAGCTACAAAATTGTCTGTAGCCGCCATATTGCTAATACGCGGGCATAAAACTGCGCACGTGGTGAAAAAATTACAGTTTACACCATGTTCAAGCCACTAATCAATAATCAATTAGGTAGAACTAATAAAGAACGATGAAAAACATTGATTTCTCTTCTTTGGCGATTTTTTTTAAATTTTTAAGATGGTTTTCTATATAACAAACTATATTTGTCAAATAGTAGAAAATTTACATTATATTTCTCACATGTACGTCAGCAATTAAATCTAGTAGTTAGCTGTTCGGATTAAAAAACTACTTTTATATCCTATTTCTTACATTTCCTTTCCTAATTAATTGAGAAGAGGTATTTTCAAACATTTACAACTAGGGTCTTTCTAGAACCTTCTCTAAGGCCGACATTATGGTTCCTTAGGTGTTGTTGTCCATGGCATTGGTGACCTTTTTTAATCAAGGGTTTCACTGCTCGTCTGCATTTAAAAAAAAACAGCTATTGATTTAAGTATGTGTAGTAAAGTTATAATGATTTAGTAAGTTTTTTGCTTAAATGTTAAGGAAATATTGACGATTAATGTTATAAAACTAGTTTGTTACTAAAAACATAAAAAAAAACATGTTTATAAATGGATCCAGATTGTTTTTGATCCTATCGTCTGGATATAGAAATTTTAAGATAAAAACGGTAATAAAAAGGACCTACCAAAATGCACAAAGCCCATACCCAATCGAACAACTTTAAATCAAGATAGTTATAAGAACTTATGCATAATGCCTGGTTTATGCCATTATGCCAGTACAGCAGGACAGTAGCGCTGGCTTATTACTTTTTTATCTCACTGGCGCCAGTTAGTATATGCATTATGCCAGTTGTATGCCAGCGTTGATTTACTGTGCTAATGATCTGCTGAAATTGCAAAATGCAAATCAGGCAAAATTATAAATAAGCATTTTATCGTAACTTAAATATAAATAAAATTTACTAAATAATGTATCGTTAGTAATAGATAAGAAAGTTTTTTTAGTATTACGAAATGTTACATAGTTTTTTGTTATGTGTTAGAAAAACATTAACTTTGCAAAATGGTTGAATTTCAATAATAGCTATACATTTTTTATTACACGAAAAAATATCAATACCAAACCGAGTCATCCTCCAATGCCGGCCGGCTGCAAGTACCAATATAACGGCAAAAACACACCTGGTCCAATAAATACTTCATTGAAAGTATTTACGCTTTGAAATAAAATTGTTCTACTTGAAATAAGCTTCCTTTAAATTAAGATACATATTCAGAAACGTATATTATAATATTTTTAAATAAAAATAAATGAGTTATAAAACGATGACGCCGGCTTTATTGATTTCATCTGTTGGCAGCACTGTAGAAAGTATGCGAGCGTCAACCAATCACAACGTAGCAGCAAAATAAAGGGATGTACTCCGTAATATCGATAAGAAAAGTTTAAAAATTGTTTATGACATGAAATTTGTAATGTACAATTGTTAACATCAGAACAATACTATGATTCTATTTTTATTTTAGTTACAAGAACTTTCCATATAATTTTGATTTGGTAAGGAATCCGTTAGGTTTGACCTCATTTCTGGAAAATGTTTTAGAATAGTAGTCAAGTTACAATACAAAGCACATTAAAATTTTATGTAAAGTAAACCTTCAATTATTGTTAAAAATATTAATTATAGCTTTTGCCTGTGACTTCGACCGAGCGAAAGTAAAATCTAGTAATAGCCTATTACTCGCTAATAATGTAGCTTTCTAATGGAAAATAATTAATCAAAATTCAGAAGTTGTTGAGTTTCAAACCTTCTCTTTTAAATATTAGCGTATACATAGCTAAGTCAAGCTTTTCTTTTTGTTTAGCGTAAAACAATCATAGTTCTTACAATCTTCAAAGATATCGTAAACGTTTTATTTGGTATATTTTAGCGAGTATGTTAGTACGCAATAATTCTTTGTATCAAAAACCATAAAATATTTTCACAATACAATGTAAACGTCCAAACACTTCATGGCAACCACTGGTAATGTCGCAATGCGACAAATTTTATCGATAAGGTGGGAGGGGATTTTGTTACATCACTACGTCGACCATTGGTTTCGTCGTCGAGTCGAAACGGAACAAGATTATTCTTCAAGTAACCACGGTAGTACGTGGTGCGTGCGGAGCAGAAAAAAATATAGTAGTGTTAAGTAATTTAATAAGTTCACATACAAAATGAGGGAAATCGTACACATCCAGGCTGGTCAGTGCGGCAACCAGATTGGCGCTAAGGTAATTATCGTCTTTCTTTTGTTTGATTTAACGTTTCGTTCACCCCGTCTGAGAATCTGCAGCCGGCATTTTGTGACGCCACTGTCGCGATAAAAAAACTGGCTCAATTTTATATGTTCCGTTCTTTTTTCAAAATATTTCGAATCAAACTATCTTTTTTTATACTTATATATTACAATACATAACTAAATTGATGGTGTAATAATTAGTCGATAAGATTGCAATGCTAAATAATTAAGGTTAGTTCGCGTCGAATATGTTTGATAATACGTCAAATTACGTTAATCGTAAGGAATTTATTGGCAATTGTTGTAAATTGCGATGAGCGACCCCGCCTAGTTCGTATCGATCGGATGGTGCGAGTCGGTTCGTGCGACTAGTTCCACGTGTTTTGTCGCCATTTGCCATTCCACGGGCCTAATTTCACATTTCCGTACGTATTTTTTCACGTACTGCACTAAAAGATTGCTCGTATGAGATTTTATATCTAGGCATAAATTTAACTACATTTCAATTAACGACTCATCTTTTGTATTTAACCCTATTTAAAAAAAAACTATTCAAATCGTCTCTTTGTTATTCCATGAAAAACCGTTGACAAAGGGCACGGTTTTTTAAACCGAACCCAAGGCCACAGTTGGCGTCCTATGATAAGGGTCGACCAATCAGAGGCCGTCTTTTATACTGTTCGAAATTCGAGTTGAGGAAAAAAAATAACGGAATAGACCATATGGCCGGAAGGCCAGCCAGCGCAGGTAAAATATGGTTCATTGTTAATTTTTTTATCATGTTTAAATATTTAATTTCATTTAAATAACCAGTCAATTTGTAATGATGAAATATACGTTTTTACTAATAATAAGGTTTCTTTAAAATATGAGACTGGCATTAAGACAGAAACTTAAGCCATTTTCGAATAAAAAAAAAATCGAAATATATTATACCGTTTAATAATGTAAATCTTAATAAAACTTGCTTATGCGGAAATGTCTATGTAAATTATTGATTACAATCAGTACAGTTTTTCTCTGTTGTACAGAAAAAAAAGATTATAGCAAAATGTACATTATGTTAATAATAACGGATAGGAAGGAAGACGTGTGCAGTTCGTTGACCGCAATTTTCTTCCGCATTGGCTAAAATAAGCCTAGTTTACACGAAACTGAACGGTTTATGACGAAACTTCAGTGTAAAACTGGCTTTATGACTGACAGTTGTTTATCGCCGACAAGAAAGTAGGGCGTTGTAAGAAAAAGTTAAGAAGGAACAATACATGCAATGCAGTGTTTTAAATTTAAATATAAAATAAATTATAATAATACAAATCTTCGACTCTGGATAATTTGAAGATTACTACGAGATAAAATTAAAAATATATAACAAAACCTTTAGTTATTTATACATTATGTACTTACTTTACTTTTACAAATTACAGAAATTAAACATAATTCCGAAATAGAAATTCATCACTTTATCGGTCTTTTACTCATTAAAGATTGCTGTTGGAAAGCAGTGACTTGCAAAAGAAGCTGAAAGTCGGTTAAACACTTCAAGCTTTTGTAATTAGCTTAAAAAATTGTCAAGATTCAACATTTAAATTATAAATAAAAATATTCTTTATGAATATCTATAAAGCTTATTCCAATGCTGTAGAACTTTCTAAATACGATTAATACTTTCACTTTTAACGCAATTACTAGAGATTAAAAAATATGTAAGTTTTTTTTTCAACAAAATCCAGTATTTGCATAAAAAGAAATACCTTAGTATAGTACTTTTTAAAACTGTAACTAAATAAGTTGAATGTGTCACAATTTAAATTAAACGGAAACAATTAATAACGTCAAATAACTGAATCATTAGTCCTAACTAAGCCAGCATGCATCGAGATGAATAAAACTCGTCAGTTTTTCAATATTAAAAAATAACATATTATTTGATACTAAATTCATTTGAACGCAGTTAGGAAGATTAATTTAAAAATATTCAGTATAAAAGAGTTGCTAAGGATATGTATATGCTATATAAATAAGGGTAAGTATATAAATAACAATTCATGACAACATTCAGCAACGTAACTCGGCTTGCCGCAACAAATAGTTTTAAACCACAACACCAACATGCTTATCGAATTACATACAACATTTTAATACATAACAAATATCCAACAATTTACAGTCGAGGAATTTGATTACCTACCCATTGTGATGATCAATCGTCGAAAAATAGTCGATGTTAGGGCATTTCTCATTTGTGCTTATCACTGTTTAAATTACATTTTCAGGTTACCAAAAAATTCTTTACTAGTATGAAACTTTTCAAAATGCTTCTACGATCTCAGATTAATCGTTGGTTTCTGAAACCAAAATGTCGGTACTAAACATATCGTAATTTTTTTCATCTTATACATCAAATTATACTGTCCATACCAATAACATTGTAAAAACGACGATCTCCAGATATTTGGGCCTTTGCCAAGCAAAGAATTAGCGATCGCTTCTTACTAAATAGTAGATTCGAATACTTAGGATAAAAACGTTCATAATTGTTCCTTAATTGATGAACCCAGTTTATACCGGTTTAAAAATGTCTAGTAAAAACACCTTATTCTTCAATATTACTTTACTTATCTCAAAATTTTAACCAAAAAATTAAAAACTGAAATATCCAAACGACAGCCATATTGGAATTTGACGTCCCTATTTGTTTAATTTTGGATTGAAACCAAGGATAATACATATTTTCACGGCGACTAGCACAAAATTTGCGAGAAAATATTCATTGCGTCATCGATAAAATTTTCCCCAACCATTAACATTCTAAGCTTAATCAATCAAACTTAAGCCATATTATAAATGCGAATATTTTACATGGATGGATGTTTGTTTTAAGGTCTTAATTTGACACAGATATAATTTGAAAGGAGACTTCTTTAATTCCGCGATGACGGTGTCGCAAACGACACCTATTTTATTTATAAATAAGTGTTCATACAGACGATCATTAAGTGTCTACGTGAGAAATGCACAGTACTGATAAAGTGCGTTATGCTAGTATCTAGACCACTTTACATATCTCATACGTAATGACTAAAAATAAATAATCTTAAGACAAACACGATGAAAAATTGATAATTCTATATTTTATTTTATTGTTATACTTAAAGTACCTAGTCTAAGTTCTAATTTAAAGATAGTTATTTTAATTGCATTGAACACTAAATATAAAACGTCAATTATAATTAACAGTACACATAATCAAAGAATTGTTTTTTAAAGTGGCCGATTGTGTTCAATCCAAAGATAAGTCTTGTCTTTATAATGGATCACGAAGAAAGAACAGTACCGCGAACGGAAAGTTAACTGTACTTCCAATTTATCTCGTATCGATAAAATCTATCGTATATCGGCGAAGTATTTGATATTATCGCGAACACCTTGCTACGTTAACCATTTATTCGACATTCAAATTCATTTTAATACGGGTCGTAAGGCGTGTGTTGGCGTTGCCAATTTTGGCAGGTCTGACGATATCGCGACCTATAAAGCAAGATTCTTTGTATGTCACCTTATATGGAATGATTATATAGTACTGAAACTTGCAATCTTAAAACAGACCGTAAACGGTTAGCTTATGAGTCATTTTAAATAATAAATTCGCTACGATCGATATCGGAGAAAGCCTGATAAGGCGACCTCGTGAATATGTTAATATTTTACTGTTTCGGTCACAATTACTATGGTAACCGGTGATTCAGACATCACGCGATCCACCCTCGCGTGGTTACGTGTTATTTAAACTCGAATCCCTTAAGAACGTCAGCTTATTTAACCCTTTATGACTCATTGCGAAAGATTTTTTACATTTGCCATCATAATGTAGAAACAAGTATTGACTTGCGTCAGCGCAACACTACCGCTTTAATTTATAGTAATATGATCATCGTTGTTACAGTTCTGGGAGATCATCTCTGACGAGCATGGCATCGACCCTACCGGCGCGTACCATGGCGACTCAGACCTGCAGCTGGAGCGCATCAACGTTTATTACAATGAGGCCTCCGGTGGCAAGTACGTGCCGCGCGCCATCCTTGTCGACCTCGAGCCCGGCACCATGGACTCGGTGCGCTCCGGACCCTTCGGACAGATCTTCCGGCCTGACAACTTCGTCTTTGGTCAGTCCGGCGCCGGTAACAACTGGGCTAAGGGTCACTACACAGAGGGCGCGGAGCTCGTCGACTCCGTTCTTGACGTAGTACGCAAAGAAGCAGAGTCCTGCGACTGCCTGCAAGGTTTCCAACTCACACACTCCCTCGGTGGCGGCACCGGCTCTGGCATGGGCACACTACTTATTTCTAAGATCAGGGAGGAGTACCCCGATAGAATAATGAACACGTATTCCGTCGTACCCTCTCCCAAAGTGTCAGACACAGTAGTAGAACCTTACAACGCCACACTCTCGGTCCACCAACTCGTCGAAAACACAGACGAAACCTACTGCATTGACAACGAGGCTCTCTACGACATCTGCTTCCGCACGCTCAAGCTCTCAACACCCACATACGGCGACCTGAACCACCTGGTGTCGCTCACAATGTCTGGCGTGACCACCTGCCTGCGATTCCCCGGTCAGCTGAACGCCGACCTGCGCAAGCTGGCCGTCAACATGGTGCCCTTCCCACGGTTGCACTTCTTCATGCCCGGCTTCGCACCGCTCACCTCCCGCGGCAGCCAGCAGTACCGCGCCCTCACCGTGCCCGAGCTCACCCAGCAGATGTTCGACGCCAAGAACATGATGGCGGCCTGCGACCCGCGCCACGGCCGCTACCTCACCGT